CCTCAGTGACTCATAAACATCTTCACCTGATAATTACTGCTGGGCTGGTGATGAACATCAGCCTGGTGTTCCCACCACAGAGCTATCAGGTTAAGTGCTGTTGTAGAGCAGTGGGTTTGGAAGATAAGGACCAAGGGGACAAAAAGGACACATTTGCCTCACTCAGCTGTCTTCATCTCATCAGCTAAATACTGATATTGAATCACAGAACCATCTGGTTGGAAAAGCCCTCTAAAATCATCAAGTCCAACCACTCCCTCAGTACTGCCAAGCCCATCGCTAACCATGTACCCAGGTGCCACATCTACAATGTCTACAGCACTGTTTCCAAAGAGTATCTTTCTGCATTTGGGTCACTTTGTTTCCATTACAGCAAAACCTCTCCTTTGAACTGAAACAGTCCAAATACCACTACATCCACTACATTAAAAGAAACACATTCCACAAAAGGAGAGGCACATGTTTCTACCACTTGTCTGATTCTCCACCATAAAGAGCAAAGAAGAATTGTGAGAACTAGATGAAAGCCAAGCCAGCAAGAGGCTGAAATTCAGGCATTGCAGACACTTAATATAAAATATGAAAATTGTGGAAATACCCACTGTTGCTGGGTCTGCTCTAGACAGGGCAGATGGGTCTGCCCACCTAGAGATGCTCAGCCTGATGAAATGTCACAGAATGAAACAGGTTGGAAGAGACCTCTCAGATCATCAAGTCCAACCCATGACCTAACACCACCATGTCAACTAGACCAGTGCCAGATCCAGACACCTCTTAAACACTTCCAGGGATGGTGACTCCACTGCCTCCCTGGGCAACCTATTCCAATGCCTGACCACCCTTTACAAGTTCCCACAGAGGTGAGCTGCCTGGACGATTTGGAAAAGCATCTTGTGCCTGCAAAAGGTGTCAGCAGTCTTGTCTTGGCTGCAGCCACCATTAATAGGATTAGGCCGCTGTAGACCACACCATATATTAGAGCTGTCCTTCACCTGCATGATGTGCTACCTCCCCAGTTATTTGCCTCTTATCACATGTTCCCCTCTTCCCCTTCTCTCTTTGGGGCTCAGAGTGCAGTCAGCACCCAGTGCAGAAACCCTCACCTGTCCTGGGTCCCATGTGACCCCACTTTTTCATTCTTCATGCAGAAATCAGGTGAGCTCTGCAGGTAAATCAGCTCTGTCTCTTTAACTGGCCTGATATCAATATCCTTTGGCACGAGGTATTTGCGTGTGCCCATGGGCCGGTGTACGACCTTGGTGGCAGATAAATACTTGGTTTTGAGGTCCAAGGCAATGTCTCGCAGCTCTTGAAGGCCTTTCCAACAGGTCTTGATAGAGCATGACCCAGAAACTCCATGGCACTTACATTTCATTTCAAGAGAGGCTTTCAAGACCTGCAAAAAGGAATGCAGGAGTTAGGAAATGCCTTTCTCTTACCTCCAAACATCCCATAACCTTGAAGAAGGCACTTTCTTAGCAGAGACTGCTAGAGACAAGGCCTGCTACTCTCATTTCTGCACAGGCACTCCAGAATAGCTACTTTGCAAAGGGAATGAGATCCCACAGCTCCTTGGTGATCACTATCAGCCCAGGACTACTGTCACCAGGGCATCTTTGCAACCAGCAGACAGAAGAGTACTTCGAATTTTGATCAGATATCTACACTGAGCTGCAATTCCATCCCCTAAATTCCTAAGGAGCTGAAAATCAAAGCACTCCATAACTAGATAATTAACAGCAATTTCTGCCTCCAGCAGCTTTGGTAAGAGAGATGTGAAGGCTCTGATGAATTCAGGACACTCTCCCCCTGCCTTTCTGCTGGTCACGGGGCCAAAAAATCCTTTTCCTTTGATTCTGCACTGTTTTCATTTCAGTGAGACATTGCAGGATGCTGCCAGGAAGGACTGAATGCACTAGCCATGGCAACACTATATCTCAAACAAAAATTTGCCCATTGCAATTGAAACAAAACCTCAAGACATTACAAAAATAAAATACAATTAAAAAATCCAACAACAGAATAGAGTGGGAATAATAAGGAGAAAAGACCCAGGAGAGAAGTTCAGAATGTTGTGCTCTGCAAAGGTGGATTCAGCCTGGAGCTACACAGTAAGCTGCCAATGAGCTCAACATGCTCCAAGTTTCATCTGCACAGTTAGCCCTGAAGGCCCAAACTGGGTGGTAGGAGCAGCCTAGGGAAGCTCTGCAGCCTCAGAGATGGGTGCAGGAGTCAGTTTTACAGTCCCCCACCCATTCCTCCAGCTGCATGGAGCAGGCTTTGCACCTCAATGCACACCAAGCACATGGTAAGCATTATCCCTCCATGGATGGGAGCTGTTAAAAGTGGCCTCTGCCAGATAGGAGACTAATCACTGGCAAAGCAGTTTGAAAAGGAAAAGAAATCATTCCTCCTGGCTGCAGGGATGGCTGGAGGCAGCTGCTGCTGGATGCATCTGGCAGATGCTAATCTTCCATGCTTACACAGCACTTTGCCTGTGCAACACCCTTGGCAGAGCACGATGAGACCCAGCCTCACCACACCTTGTGGTTCTAGAAGGCTGATAACTGCACTGAGGACCTCCTGAGTCACAGGATGAGTTATATAGTTGCCATCTTCAGTAGGCCAAAGCAGTTCAGAGCAATCTGGGGGGAGAAACCTGTTCCTTTAACTGAGAGAGACACTGACCCTCACAGAGAGACCAACCACTACAGATGATTGTACAAGTACAATAACTCTTGTGGATTTGTTACCTGTCTCCCTACTTCACTGTTGTGCAGATGCATCAGTTTATTGGCTTGTGATCCTGATTTTTTCATCTTCATGGGAGCATCTGAAAATTTGGACCCCATGATAAGACCATAGTTGAGGTTGTCTGCACATCCTCCCCATCGATACCCAGGTCCAGGTGTCTCACCTGGGATGGGACCACAGGAACAGCCAGGGAGGTCCCCGGTGGTGCAGGCTCTGGCAATGGTGTGGCTAATGGCAGCAGCAGAAAGGGCATACACAAATGCTGACTCCCTTGTGCCTGAAAGAGACAAGAACTCCAGTTCAGCCTCCTAGGCCAGCTAAACATTTCCCAAAAAGAGACCCCCAGAGTCTATCCCCCACAGAGCAGCAAACAACCTGACCCATTGCAGCTGAGGTGTGCCATGGCACCACCAGTCTGGAGCACATCTAAGGGATCTCTTCAAGATGAGGCAACATCCCAGCAGGACAAGAAGTCACATGGATTTATACAACTTGTCCACTGTGGTATGATTTGCTCTTGGAGCATGTGGAGAAACTCCTGCATGGACTCTCCTGCCTCCTTTTTTTCCTGTGCTTCTCCCATGAGTTCTAATGAGATAAGTAGACCAGCTGGTGGTCTGCTTTGTAAGAGCTGTGGTAGCTCTTGTGTCTTGGACCCATGAACACAGTCTCAGAGAACACAACAACTAGGCTATGTAGTCCTTCCATGTCCCCCTTGGTAGCAAGACCCTTCCCATCACCACACACTGGCTGACTCTACTCACACATGTCCCTGGCTGAGCCAGCAGTGCTGCTTACCTCTCTCCAAGTCCAGCAGGTAGTTAGGAGCCAGCTCAATGGAAGAGCAGTTCCACCTCATGTCTGAGAAGGTTTTCCGACAGGTCTTTATGACTTCTCGTGCTGCCTGGATGATGGTCTGCATCAGCTCCAGGTTGCTGCGACACAGCTGCACCTGGGAGACCACCAGGCCTTCAAGCTGCTTGCAGTGCTGGGTTTGATTCAAGGCCAGAGCTGAAGGAGTCTTGGACAAAGCTCTGAGGAGACAAGCATGTGCAAAAAAAAGGGCATTAAAACCTATCAAAACCCTTTAATCTTCAGGTCAATATTAATTTTTCCCCCCACCCCAGGCCAGTGACCTGTGTTCACCTGACTTAATTCGAGCTATCTGTGCTTAGTTTAAGCTGGTGAGAAAGATGGGCAACTCTGAATAGTGATTTATCTAATTTAAAGGAGGCATTTAAGGTAGGTGGAAGAAACACCCTCTAGATGTGCATATTTCTCTTCACTATCAAGGGGAGTCTGCACAGAGCTCCTGGGGCATATGCCAAATTCACTGAATATGTAAATCCTACAGGAAGATTTTTTTGCTGAAGAATGAAGAGGACAAAGTGAAAAATGACCCATCAGTTCCATGATAACAGATATCAGGATCCTCCAAGACTGTGGCATTCAGAAGACACCAAAGTGATGTTGGTGTTATCAGTGTTTTGCATTCAGCATCTCTCACACACTCTCAAAGGATTATGCTAAATGTCATGTCATTAATTATGGAGCAAATCCCCTGCAAGGCCTAGGGACAAGCCACCAAATTTGCAAACCAGATGCTTTTGCTTAGAGTTGACACCAAGGGCCTCCACCAACTCCATCACTGTTGCACAGAGATAATTCTGTTTTTCTAGTCTCCCTTTTTTAACCTTTTCCAGGTTAAAAAAAGAGCAAATTCTGCCATGTGTCCTCCAGGGCTGTGCTCTTCTTCCCCACAGCAATCATCACAAGGCTGGTGTGTAACACTCTTTGTGTCTTTATGACCTGCTTAGGGTAGTCATAAATGTTACTCATTCTCATAAAACAACTTTCTAGCTGGCTTCATCCAGAACTGGCATCTGATCCTGGCAACACAACTGCCTTAACACATATTTCCTTCTCTCCTTGTTAAATATGTTGCCTTTCAGTTTCATCCCAAGCCATCTTGGGTAGTTTGGCTTATTAGCAGACGCATTTCTGGGTGCATTTGACTTTATTACTGTAACATCCACATCCTTCAGAAGTTAAATGAGATGGAAACAGAGCTAAAATTGAGCCCTAACCAAAACTGAGGTATTAGCTCTGATCTCCTGTTTTCAGAAAAACATATCTATGTTCCATCAGCTCCCTCAAGGCTGGCTTGAACCAGCTGCTGTGTCTGTTGGAGCTTTCTTGGGGCTGCACATAACTGCTCGCTTCAACTGCTCTTTCAGCAGGGAAAAGCTGCAATCCTTGCTAGGTCTGCACTGAAAAATTCCCAGGTGGCTGGAATTTGGCATTTCTGGCACTTAGCTAATCAGTGGCAAACTTGGAAGGGAAGCCACCACTCTGCTAGCTCTGTAAATATAGACATCATCCATGTATTTCAACAAGTCCATTAAACACACTGAAAACAGAAGTTCTGGCCAGTGAATTTCAAGGGAAAGGAAAAAGTGCTGGACTTGGCAGTGTTCAGTTGGACTCAATGATCAGAGGGGTCTTTTCTAAATGATTCTATGATTTAATCATCAGAAATTCTGCCCTGAAGTTCATCTCAGACCCTCACACACTGGTGTTCATGCAATGCTCCCTGTCTGGAGAGGGAAATCTCCAGAAGGCAACTCATCATGCCTTAGATGGGAATCAGTGCTGGAGCAGAGCTGGTGGAGACAAAACTTGGTGGTGCTCAGATCTCAAATAGATCACATCCTTGAAAGTAAAGACATTGAACAGTATCAATGTCACCTGACTGCAAATCTCTACCTCATGGTAGTCCTTCAGGGTCCTTCTTTAGCCCATGGAAAGGAAAAAGCCTCATCAAGGAAGTAGTTAGTCTGATGTACTTTTGAGAGCTACAGTAAGATAGCATCAGGTCTTACAAGTGCTCTTTTTCTGCACTATACAGAAGACCAAGACAGACATCTGGACTGTATAAGCACAGAGCTGAGTGAGATGTGTCCAACCCCTAGCACTTGGCACCAAGAACCTGTGAAAACTTATCCCAGAAAGCCTCTCAGCAACTCCCAGGAATAGGCTGAAACACAAATCAGGCAAGAGGCCAAAGCAGCTCGTCACTAATCGAGTGAAAATGATAAATACTCCAGCACAGCATGTCCCAGCAGCAAAGGAAGCAGGCAGGGTGCAGCAGGCCAAGTGAGAGTCCTTCACATTCTGAGCTTCAGGCAAATCAGGAACATTCTAAGTCCCTGAGAGATGCTGGACTATGGGGCAGCAGCTCTGTTTGGTAATCAGAAGTGCTAAGGGACACTTGAGAGGCCTTGCGATGTTTCACCTGGCCCTCAGAATATATCTCCTAGGTCCTGCACCATATATTTCTGATCCTGTATAGAGGTCTTTAAGGATCTGACATTCTGAGCTTCAGGCAAATCAGGAACATTCTAAGTCCCTGAGAGATGCTGGACTATGGGGCAGCAGCTCTGTTTGGTAATCAGAAGTGCTAAGGGACACTTGAGAGGCCTTGCGATGTTTCACCTGGCCCTCAGAATATATCTCCTAGGTCCTGCACCATATATTTCTGATCCTGTATAGAGGTCTTTAAGGATCTGGAAGCCTAACTAGGTCCTGCACCATATATTTCTGATCTTGTATAGAGGTCTTTAAGGACCTAGAAGCCTACATTGAGGCACCTCTATCTCACCATTACAGACAGGTCATGAACGGCAGAAATAACCACCTACAGGTTAGGGTGAGAGCTGAATTCAGACTGAAACTCATCCCCAGTGTGGAAAAAGGGGGATGTGATACAATGAGATGGTGTTACAGATAGCCTGGAATGATCATCTTTAGAGAAGGTCTATAATGCAAGGAGAAGGACATTGGCTTCATGGAAGAAGGAAAATACCTTCTCATTGGGGAGAACTCAGTAAATGGCAGCAATGGATGTTTCAGAAGGTATTTTCTGAACATCTCTCAGGCCTGAACTCGATGTCTTTGCTTGTGAGAACCTATAATTGGAAACATCTCCAAGCATCAGGAGGAAAAAGTACAGGGTAATGGAGATGGAAAAGAAAACTCAGTTATTGGAGTCACTTGCTAAGACCAAAAAGTGCATTTATAAATCACAGATCAGGAATGTGAGAGGCCTATTAGGTCATCCAGTCCATGCCCTGACAGCCCAGGTTTGCCCAGTCTCTGTCCTACATTCAAGACTGTCTTCTCCACCCTGTGCAGCTCTAAACCCTCCCTGTGGAAAGGCACCACCTCTCCCTGCTCCCTAAATTCTGGTGACACCAGGCAAGGGATACCCACAGCCTGTTGGGGAACAGTGTCCACTTGTAGGGCAGTGGAAAGTCAATCACCTTCCCCCAGAAGAGTCTGGTCCATAGTGGGATTTGGTGGTGGGTCTCTATCTTCACTGTCTCCACTGACCACCAGTACTCAGAGGGAAACTGGTGCCAAAGGGGCACAGCCAGCACAAGGCAGCCCTCAATCTAGGAAAAATATTCCTGACAAACATCTTTCTGTGGACTCACATCCTTCATCTGAAGAGGAGATTTACCTGCTGCCACCCTATAAATGCTGGTTTTCCCTATTTCCACCTGGTAGCATCGTGCACTTCTCCCTTCTTCCTTTTCCCTTGACTCTCTGCCCCATCCATTCTCCAGAAAGCTGAGGACAACTGAGGGGTAGTTGTTTCAGGGGGTATTTTTAAATATACATATTTGAGCCATCCCTTTAAATAAACAGGCCCCAAAGCAAACATCTCCTGCTTTATATATAGCATAGCAGAGCTTTAATTGAAGTTATGGACACTGACAGAAACCATAAACATAATTACAGAAGAAATATGATGCATCAATGGATCATGACATTTATTTACTCTTTTAATTATCTCAGGCAGTTAATAAATTCATTTGAGAACATGAATGCTCTGCTGTGTTTTGAGAGGTTTGGGTCTATTCGTGCAGATCTGGGCTCCATGAGAAGACTATTCATAGGAGCTGCAGCTTAGAATCATAGAATCATCAAGGTTGGAAGAGACTTTTAAGACCATCAAGTCCAACTGTTAACCTGTCATTCTGCTGTAACCCCTAAACTTGGAGAAGCACCTTCAGATCTGAGCAGATTATCAGTGAAATCTAAACATTATGTGCTTTACAAGGTCCACTGTGAGTAGGACACAGCTCCTGGTCAAGTCAAACAGAGAAAAACTGGAACTGAGCAGCAAACCACTGGTGTCCTTCAAAACACCCTTAAAGGGTGGAAGATCTCCACTGTTTCTGATGTTTCTCTCTCTGGAGGCACCTCCCTACCCTCCATTGAGTGATGTGATCTGAGAAGGTCTCACAGAGAGACTGGTGGTGAAACCATGAACTTCTGCTCCAACTTGTCCGCTTTGCTTTCTGCAAAGGCACCTTTTTTATGCCTATTCCTAAACCCCTTAATCTTGCAGGGATTTGGGTGCAACGAAGAGATTTAGACAAAATTACATGGCTGTGGGGAGTGAAGTGTGTGGTAAACTTTAATAAAGAGAGGCAGATATTGAGGGGTTTTTTTTTATTTGATGTCACTGAAGGTTTTTAACTTGCAAGAGCCTTTTTTTCTTGAGTTTTCATATGGAAAAGGCTTTCAGGTGTGTTACAATAACCTTGGCTAAGCTCCTGGTAGTCAGAGGCAGCCCATGCTCCCACCACCCTGCCCTGCATCAGGTCTGGGCACCACGAGTGTTGGGAAAGCCACCACATCCCCTGGGAAATGCTTCCACTGGTTCTGCAAAGCCTTTTCAAAGAAAGAAGCAGTATTTATATAGTAAAGAAAAAAAAGAAAAAAAAAAGAAATAAAGAGAAGGAAGAGGGAGAGAAGTATAAGGAGGGGGAAACCAACCCTGGAGGAAAAGCTTAAAATAAGAGCTGCTTTCAGATACGGTGCCAAATCCAGTGCTGGCAATAGTGGGCACAAAGCTGTTGACTTCCAGCCCAAGCTTGACTGAAGTTGATGCCAGCAGTGAGTTGGCTCACGGAGCTCCAAGGAAGGCCATGGAGCTCTGTCAAGTTTTCCTGAGCTGCCTCAGGAGCGAAGAGCAAACTTCAAAGCCACAGTCCCCCCCCTTTCCTCACCCCCAGTCTGTTCCCCTCCTGCCATCCCCATCCTGGAGTCCTTTCATGGCAGTTCATCTAGCAGCCCCCTTGCCAGGCAGACAGTCTCCTCACAGGCGCCCAGGTCCCCATGTCCCACCTCCCTCCCACTGCTGGTTGAAGGAGAGAAGGAGGAGCTGCTGGGAAGCCCAAAGTCTTTCCATTTTCTCCCCTGCTGGCTTCAGAAGTGCTCCTCAAGGTTGGTGGGCTGAGGAACATCCTGTGTTCACCAAAATGTGTGGTTAAGCCACCATTAGATCCTGAAGGGCTGTGATTTAACCATGAGGATTTTGCAGCAATAGCTGGGAATGGTCTTCAGCATGGAGCATGATTGGGCCACCACAGCAAGGATTTCCCAAACTGAGCAAGCTCCACCTAAAAATGATGGAATTCCCAATGTCAGCACTTGCTTTCACGGGCTAATTGTGCACACAAAAAAAAAACCACCCATTTGCTTCATTTGGCAAGCACTCCTGTGTTGAAGGTGACACTCAATACAGGGGGACACAGGAGATGCCAAGCCCTGTGGAGGCAAAAGCTACTCTGTGCCTGGACATCTCAACATCTGGAGACCTCTCAACATGCACATCTGGCCTCAGCTCCCTCTAGTGTTCATATCTTTTTCAGTTCTATCCACCAAGTGCTCCTAGGAAAGCTAAAGGAGTTGCAAAAGGAGACAGGAAAGGGGATAGAATTCCTAGATGCACTGGCCCTAAGAGAGATCCCACTGAACCCAATGGCTGCCTCACTTCTTCAGCCACTGTGACACAAAACAAGCACCAAGGACCACAAAATGATGCAACCCACATCCTGCTCTAAGGACGGAAAAGTGTTTGCAAAAACAAGACTCAAGGACTCATATACATTGAAGAGAAAGGCTGCCTCTCCACAACAACCCTGATCCAGCCAAGATCCGTCCATATCCCAACTCTATACCTGAGCAACTCCCTGAAGCTTGGACGAGAGAGACCAAAATATGTTTGTCCCCAAGTAAGCACAGGTCTACTAGATGTTGACTGTCACACTGGATACTTGGTGGTGCCCAGTGCTGATTTACAACGAGGATCTGGACCACAGAACTCATAAACCAAGTAACATAAATAGCTCATTTTTTTTTACCTTCCTTTCCTAATTTCCAGGGGGTATTTGTGTTCCAGGCAAGTCCAAAATGGCTGAAAAGTGTGTTTTTCTTCTCCTCCTCCCCTTGCAATTACATCACACACTGAATCAAAATTGAATTTCCTATCACTTTTCATATCAGTCTCTCCCTCTTCTCTAGCCTGGTGAAACCCACCTCCTTATCATCCCCCTCCCCTCCTAAATCCTCTCTGAAGCTTGGTCTCTGGCACTGTGCCTACAACAACAAGACAAGGCCACAACTGAAAACATCTCATAGCACTTTCCACCCTCTTCATCCCATGCTTTTTCCTCCCAGCTCCACCCATGGACAACAGAGGGAAGGAGAAGATTTTGATTGTACAGCCCCCGCAATGCGAGTTTGGAGCTGGGATTGTAGCTCTGAGGTTGTTACTCAGTGTTTAGGACTCTTCACCAAGAGTTTATCCACACGACTTCCACAGGCAGTCCCTGAGCCTCAAGGGAAAAGAGTGATGGGGAGGGAGGGGAAATTGGCTTGTGTTTCCACAGGAAAACAAGGGTGGGGAAATGAGGAGAAACAGCAAATAAAAGAAGCCCAAAGAAAAGTAATTTTGTGAAATCCCAGCTGGCAGCATCCCAGTTACAAAGCTCTGCGGGAGTGCAGGGCTCGGCCAGGTTGAAAACAGGTGTGAGGGGAGCCCATCTGGATGCAGTTCATGCTTCAAATGCCACTTTAATCCCAGCTTTCATCTTCTCCACTCACTTTTCCATAGGGAGGATATGTCTGCTGGGAAGGGGAGGAGCAGCAACCATGGTGTCTTGCCTCCAACTGCTTCTCCCCCCACCCCATCCTCAAAAGCAGCTTAACCACTTACAGGCTGAAAGGCTGCTTTGGCCAGCAAAGCTATTCAGGACCTTGCCTTGCCTTCCAGCGTATTTTCATGTCTATGGCTTGTCACCACGCTATCAGGTTCCTTCTGAAGCCTTTTGGAGGAACCCTTCAGTCATGATTTAGCACTCTGCTTAAGTGGGAGCCAATGCCAAGCATCTGAGCAA